GGGGGGGGGGGGAGGGCTTGGCACATGTTATTGAATTTGATTGTAGCATTCTTTACGCGGTACATAGAACGAATTCATTCCTTCTAGCAATAGAAGGAGCGGGGAAACGTAACTTACCGATGGAAGGGTGAAACCCGGGGACAGGATCTTGGAGCCCTTGCTTCAGGGAGCTGATCCTGCCCCCACCGTTGTCATCCCGATTGGGTGATACATGCATACACCGAAAAATTTGAGTGCGCGTGGGAGCATCGGCACGTTGGCGGCCTTAGCTTACCTCAGAGAAACGGCCCCGATGGGTTTCGAATATGTACCGTACCACCAAAAATTGTAGGTGCTTCCTGGGCATCCTCTAAGGCAAAACAAATGGGACTCAGAGAACGCCCCCCAGAGGTTTTCCAGTGTACGCTTTACCACCAAAATTTCACATGCTTCCCGCGGGCGTTCTCTCGAAGCGTATGCATACAAATGGCAAATGCTGTGACTCGCGAGTGTGTCAACTTTCAAAGGTCAACAAGAAAGAAACTAGCACCCGCAATCGCAATCGTCCCGCTGAGAACCGCACCCTGAAAGAATGACTTGGAAGAAAAAGCAAAATAGTACGAGTGTAGTGGTACACTCACCAATAGCTTGTAGCCTCCTTCGTACTTCTAAGTTCACAGTGTATCGCAGATAGTGCAAGGGGGTTACGTCGAAAACCGACCACCTGGCCATTTACGCCGCACGTGAAGTATGTGAGTACGTTTGTCCTTGTTTTTCAAACTGCCCGCTACCAGCTGATTCGTGGTTGCAAGGAAGTCTACCGCTGTGCGTTACTCTATGTTTATGAACTTCCGTGATTGCACCGCCGGACAGCATATGTATGTGGAGAAGTCTGCACTCGAAACAAAGCTCTTTGGCATCGACAGTATAAACTAAGTGAAGGGGGAGTGGCGTCGATCACCGCATCATAGCTGGCGTGGAGCCATGAAGGGCATCTATGAAACCTGTGTTCAATCACAAGGTTGTGGCCATGGCAAACTCTTATCACGCTACGCTGACAAAGGAGAGGGTGAGACGTGGTGCTGCTGACGGCAGGAACAAAATACCGTGTTCAATTTTGTTGCACTCACAATCTCTTCTTGTCTAGGTCTTCCCAGTCAACCGTCTGCCTTTCATCACTGGGATCCATCTCCTGGGCCAGCCCGTCTACGGGAAAGGGCGTATTCAAGTAGAAGCTGCTGCTGTATCGCCCGCGACGCGAGTGAGCTCGGCGTGCCACAAAGGGGCAACATAAATGATGCCTTGTTGCCACTTTTAGGCATACCCTGCAGCGAAGTCCTGCAAACACGTACCCCCCAAGAAACCGCGCTAATCGCCGGCTCTGCGCGTGGCGCTGGCCGCTGGCACCCCTGGCATCATCCTTCTCGTGCAACACGCCACCCATCTTCATTATAGTGGCTTCGGTGAAGACTTCCCTTGACAGGTGTGTGGATCGCCGGCTGTTTTCCTTCTTGTCTGCGGTTCCCCGCTGCGGGGCACGAGATCCAGTGACCCCCACTCCGCTATTTCCGCAGGTAGAGCGGAGCAACCGGCAAACACACGGCGGCGTGTGTTTGGCTGTGTTTCGCTCTCTGATCGCCGTTTTGTGAGAAGCGCTGGGGGTTTGCAATATCACCTGCATTACACTCAGGCCCACGTCGTGATTTAGTGGTTTCGAAAGGGGGGCTTTGAAGCGCTCGTGCTCCATATGTGGGGTAACGTTTCCTGGATGGAGACGCGATCGATATGGAGAGTGGGCGAAGGAGCGGGGTGATGAGGGGTATTACTGGGTGCGGTTAGCACGAGCTATGCCGCTCTGCAGTGCTTGGAAAGGATCGATGATTGTTTTCTCCCGCGCAAGAAAGAAAATCACACCCTTGCCAGCCTCTTGTGATCTTGCGGCTGGTGTCGGTGTGCTTTGCGGCGAGAGTCGGCAAGAAAAACACGTAGCAATATGTATGCATGCACGTATGCGTCGTGCATACTGCTGTAGACTGACAGCAAGAGAAAGCGTCGGACCGTACGGCAGCGTACAGCGGTAAATAGATACACACGAAGTCCGTTTGTCTCCAGGAGTCCAGGATGTGCTCAAAAGACATGCCACGTGACAAGTACTCGACCATGGGCGTGGGCCACGAGACGACAATGCTCCCCGTAGTAGATGCCAGCAGTTCGACGCCGGTTGTACACAAAAGGTGATTTTGCGAACAGACTACCAGAGATACAGCAGTTTCCCATCACCACCTCCCGCGGCACCTCGTCTGGACGTGGTACGGCAACCTCATAGCGTGGTCGGTCTGAGCTGATTTCGGGCGGTGCAATTTTTTCCCTAGATGTCGCTACGCAGACCAATCTTGGTGCCAATGGGGCACTACAGTAATGTGCGACCCACGGAGCAGTGGACAACTGCTGGGCGAGCGCCAGAGCATGACCAGGCGTGCCGAATCGTAAGGGTGCGGTCTAGGGGTGCGGTCTAGGGGTGCCTGTGTATGTGCTATTTAGTAGGCTTTGTGCGTGCTGCTCAAAATCGTTATTGCAGGGCTGTCGTTGTACAGTTGTTGTTGAAAACACCGGCCCTTCGCCCACCTATGCCCCCTTCACGCAACCGACGCCAGGTGGCTAGAATCTTTCAACCTCGTACCCTCACAGGCTCGGAAGAAGACCATTCCTCCTGTCTCTCTTTCGGAACCACACACACAAACACAAACACACCTGGAGCCTCGGACTACCTCTGCGGCCGCCAACACGGCTTTCGCGCCACCGGTCTAGTGCCATCCATCAGCGTGGTGCACATGCCGCCGCTGCGGGCATGAATGCCGGCCTTGGTGACTACCGCACAATCACGCCGGGGATGAGCGACCACGGCCGTCGCCATTTGTTCGCAACGAAGAGCCTGAGACCTCGGTGTCGGCGAGTGTTTATTGGGCGGCGGCAGGACCACCATCGTCGTGGATCGCGGCGTCAGGGCGGATGACTGCCAAGGCACTCAAGGGGGAGGAGCGAGAGGACAACAACGATAAGAAGGAAA